TTTCCAAGTCAGAACGGTAAGTGGCTTGGAGGGGAACTTGCATGTGGTGGGGTGTTCCCATGTATCTGCTGCCCTTGACCTTCTAGATAGGTTTGGAAGGTTCTGTCTTAGGAACTTCAATGAATTTCTGCAGTTTATATTGTAGATAGAATACATTGCTGCTATTGAGCGTTGGTGGTGGAGGGAGTGGATGCTTGTCGATGTAGTGCCAATCAAGTGGACTGCTATATCCTGGATGGTGTCGAGATTCTTGAGCGTTGTTGGAGCTGCACCCATCCATGAAAATGTGGACTATTCCTTTACTCTCCTGACTTTTGCCTTGTAGATGGTGGACAGGGAGTCAGGAAGTGAGTTACTCACCACCGTATTCCTAGCCTCTGGCCTACTCTTGTAGTCACTGTGTTTATGTGGCGAGTCCAGTTCAGTTTCTGGTGAATGGTAATATCAAGGATGTTGATAGCGGGGGATTCAGTGACAGTAACATCATTGAATGTCAAGGGATGATGATTAGATTGTCTGTCTCTTTTTGGAGATTGTCATTACCTGCCATTTGTGTGGCATGAATGTTACTTGCCACTTGTCAGCCTAGGCCTGGGTATTGTCCTGATCTTGTTACATTTGAATGTGACTGCTTCAGTATCTGAGGAGTCGCAAATCATGCTGAACATTGTGCAATCATCAACGAACATCCCCAGTTCTGACCTTATGATGGAGGGAAGTCAATGATGAAGCAGCTACAGATGGTTGGGCCTAGGACACAACCCTGAGGAGCTCCTGCAGAAATGTCTGGAGCTGTGATGAATGACTTCTAATAACCACAATCATCTTTCTATGTGCCAGGTATAACTCCAACCAGTGAAGAGTTCACCCCCAATACCAATCCATTCCAGTTTTGCTAGGGCTCCTTGATGCCACACCTGGTCGATTGCAGCCTTGATTTCAAGGGCTGTCACTCTCACCTCACGTCACCCTGGAATTCAGCTCTTTTGTCCATGTTTAAACCAAGGCTGTAAAGAGTTCAGGAGCTGAGTGGCCCTGTTGGAACACAGACTGCGCATCAATGAGCAGGTTATTGCTGAGCAAGTGCTGCTTGATAGCACTGTTAATGAAACCTTCCATCATTTTACTGATGATTGAGAATAGACTGATGGGTTCTAACTGGTTAGTTGGATTTATCCTGCTTTTTATGTACAAGGCAAACCTGAGAAATTTTTCACGTTGTCGAGTAGATGCCAGTGTTGTAACTGTATTGGAATAGCTTGGTTAGGGGAGCAACAAGGACTGGAGCACTAGTCTTTAGTACTATTGCCGAAATATTGTCAGATCCCTTTGCAGTATCCAGTGCCTCCAATCATTTGTGTGAAGAGAGCTGAATTGGCTGAAAACTGGTATCTTTGATGCTGGGGACCACTGGAGGAGGACAAGATGGATCATCCACTTGGAACCTCTGGCTCAAGACTGCTGTGAATGCTTCTGGATATCTTTTGCACTGATATGCAGGGCTCTTCCATCATTGAGGATGAGGATATTTTTGGTGCCTCCTCCTCTAGTGGGCTGTTTAATTGTCCACCACCATTCACGACCGCAGAGTTTAGATCTGATGTGTTGGTTGTGTGATCGTTTAGCTCTGTCTGTTGTTTACTGCTTATGCTGTTTGACATGCAAGTAATATTGTTCAGTAACCTCACCAGGTTGACACCTCAATTTTAGGTATGCCCTCTTGCATTCTCCATTGAACCAGGGTTGATCCCTTCTTGATGGTAATGGTCGAGTGGGAGATATACTGGGCCATGAGATCCAAGTTCTATAGAGAGAAAGCAGAGTTGATGTTTCATGTCCAGAGACCTTTCTTCAGAATAGTTCTCAATGAAGAGATGATGGATGAATCTATTCCAGGCCAGGTCTAATCAGTCCTTACAGTTGGAAAGATTACTTCTGCAAGATGAAAATGTTTGAAAACTGATTGTACAGCCGTCCTACGTATAGATCTCCAGGAATAATACCCTAGGAAAACAGTGTCAGTGGAGATTGGAAAGGGGGTATGTACTGAGATTGGGGGACAGTATGTTGACTGAGTGAAAACAAAGAGAATGTTATACAGGTAAAAATAATCTGTTGAGGGAGAGTCAGACAGTGTGAAAGTGCTGAAAACATAGAGGAACAGTGAGGAACATAGATCTTTCTCTCCCTCTCAAAATCTGCTAGTATCCTGAGTCCAACTATACAAGAATCGCCAAAATTGACCTAGTCAACTAGCTGCTGAATCTGCCTTCAAGTGTTAACCTTTCTATTTCAGCAAGAAGAACTCAAACAATGGGCCCAAATGGTATACTGTAGAGATTTATTAGGACTTTCCCCTTTTAAGTATAGAAGCATTTTATCGGTATTTATTTTACTCATGGTATCTGCAGGAGTTTTACTCTATAACTCTATGTCTATGACCCTTTATTCTTGAGGAATCTTCATCAATAGTTTGCAATAAATGAACCTTTAATCTATTTAAGTGGAACTGCTTTAACTCAAATCATATACATTAAATAAGGGTTAAATGTGCTATATTAATTCACAGTTCATTGACTGCATTGGGGATATGCCTATTGGCAATGACACTTTGAAAGCTTTGGTTAAACCTGTGTTCGCCTTACTCTCAGACAATACTTTGCAGCTCTAGTCACGCATTGTAAATTAGGGTTTTCCTCACATTGCCATTGGTTCTTTACCATTCACCTTAAGTCAATATCCTTTGGCTCTTAAGCATTTCCACAAAGGTGAACAGTTTGACTTAATCTATTCTGTCTGGATCCCTCATGGATTTTTGCCCTTCTATGAAATTTCTTCTCAACCTTCTCTTCCTTTGGGAGAACAACTCCAGCTTATTAATCTATCCAGGTAATTGTAGTCCCTCATCCCTGGACCCTATACCTCAGCCTCTCCAAAGCTCTCACATCCTCCCAAATTGCTGTGTCCAGAATTGGACACATTACTCCACCTCAGGCTAAGCCAGTTATTTTATAAATGTTCACCATAACTTCCTTGATCTTGTACCATATGCATCTAATTATAAATGGGGTCCTGTTTGCCTTTTTAGCTGATTTCTCAAACTGCCTTGTCTTCAAAGATTTATGGACACATATATATTTCTGGTTTCTCTGTTCCTGCACCTTTTTAGAATGAGACTCTTCAGTTTATATTCCTCTCCTCATTCTTCTTAACCAAAATGTATCATTTTACATTGCTCTGTTAAATTTCATCTGCCACTTCCTTCATTCCCATAGCCTGTTTATATTTTGAAAGCTATCACTATCCTTCTCACTGTTCATAATACATATCATTACAGAGCTCACATATGCAACTATTTGCTATCTCATTTTGATCTTGGAATGAAATCATTACCTAACAAAACTCAGGGTTCTCTGTTTAATAACATTATGTTGATTTTCATAATCACAATGTTGAACATGTGACTCAAACAAAAAAAATTGCTGTGAAGTAAACATACGTTTTAATTTGGCATGATCACTAAATTTAAAAAATGCATGGTCTGTGGCCGATGATGGCATTTTTATTCTTCCCAATTTGGCCGCTTTATATTGTTAAGATTTTCTCAGCTACCTTAAAGCCACCAAAAATGCTTCTTCCTATCTCTACAATTTAAACGTGACCATGTTTCTTAATGACTTCCTGTCATTACATAGCTCTGGAATGAACAATAACATTGAAATTCCTGCCACAAACCAATTTTTTTTTCTTCTTAATTATGTTTTTTCCTCTAGTAGATGCTATTTTCTGAATTGCTTTGTGGGTTAGTGCTAAAACAACTTTGGAGGTTTTAGATTCTCGCTTCTATGCTACCCAAGAGAGAGTACATTTATCTATTACCGTTCTCTTAAAAGATAAATTTAAGGGGAAGGCTATGATCTAGTGGCACTGTTGCTAAGTTACTTTTCCAGAAACCCGAGAAATGATCTGGGGACCCAGGTTCAAATCCTGCAGTGGGAGATGGTAGGTTTTGGATTCAATTAAAAATCTGGAATTAAGAGTCTAATAATGACTATGAAATTGGTGATGATTGCTAGGAAAAACCAATGTAGTTCACTAATGTCCTTCAGGGATAGAAATCTGCCATTCTTATCAGTCTGGCCTACACATGACTTCAAACCCATAACAATGTGGTTGACTCTTTGCTCCCTCTTGGTAACTAGAGATGGGCAATAAATACTAGCCTAGCCAACAATGCCCAAATCATCTAAATGAGTAAAAATAATTTGTCATTATTTGTCACAGCTCCTTAAGAATGGTTTAGTCACTACCACTTTCTTAAATGGCAGATGAAGAGACTGGCGAATAGACACTTATAATCACTTACTATAGCTCTGTTAAATAATGTAAGAATTTTCTTCACTACTAAGTGGCAGTTTTGTGTTAGGTTGCTCTGTTTCTCAGTGATGATATTTAATATTAGTGTGCTTTGATTAAAACAGTACAATAGAAATGTCATGATTCATCCTCAATCCTTTTTGAAAATATTGTAATTCATATAAACATCACCAGTATGTGCAAAGAAAACGCCAATATTTTTGGTAAGTGACGGAAAGCAGCAGCTAGTCTCAAAGATGGTAATGCAGGAAGTGTGCATTTAGAAAAATTCTTCAGATTTCTAATTTAAAAAAAAAATAAAAACCAACACATAGAATGGACAATCAGAGGCTGGTTCCTCTGCTCCCACTCCTGGTGCAGACCTCCACACCATTCCAGGGTGGGCCTTGCCCTGCTCTTGGTGCAGGCCTCCACCCTCTCCTTTTAGCAGGCTGACCTCCCCAACTCTGTGCAGGCCTCACCCTGCTTCTGCTCCTAGCAGGCTGCTCCCTGCTCCCTCTCCCTCTCCTGGTATAGACTTATCATGACTCCCTCTTCCAGCTTTGTCCTTTGACCCTGCGCCTGCTGGTGCCCCAGCCTCCACTTCACCTCCTTTCCCAAGCCCTCTCATCAGTGGTGCTTACATAGTGATGTCAATGCGCATGGACACAGGGAGGTCAGTGACGCAAGTGCAGAAACCTTGTGTGTGCTGTTGCGTCCAGCTGATGTCACAGGCAACGCCTGCACAGGTGCGTTGTCCATTCTGGCACAGTGGACAAAAGAGAACAAAAGAGAAGTACAACACAGGAACAGGCCCTGTGCTGAGTGTCATGCCCTAACTAAACTAAAAAACAAACCTTCTGGCCTTATTCGGTCCGTATCCTACTATTCACTCCCTATTCATATAATCATGCAGGTGCCTCTTAAATGTCACCAATGTGCCAGCTTCCACCACCTCTTCTGGTAGTGCATTCCAGGCTCCTACCAATCTCTGTGTTTAAAAACTTCCCTCGTTCATCTCCCTTAAACTTTCCCCCTCTGACCTTGAACCTGTGCCCACTTATAATTGAAACTTCAACCCTGGGATAAAACCTCTGACTGTCCACCCTATCTATGTCTCTCATAATTTTGTAGACCTCTAACAGGTCTCCTTTCAGCTGCCGTCTTTCCAGTGAAAACAATGCTAGTCTTTTTAACCTTTCCTCATAGTCAATGCCCTGGAGACCAGGCAACATCCTGGTGAACCTTCTCTGTACTCTTTCTTAAGCTTCCACAACCTTCTGGTAATGTGGTGACTAAAACTACACACAATACTCCAAATGCGACTTAACAAGAGTTTTAAATAACTCAGCTTGGTTATCAACTCTTGTACTCCATGCCCTGCTATAAGCCTTCTTAATCACCTTGGCCACCTGTGTAGTTACTTTTAGGGAACTGTGGACCTGCATGCCCAAATCCATCTGTATGTTACTGTTCCTAAGGGCTGTGCCATTCGCAATATAATTCACACCTAAATTTGATCCTCCAAAACGCATCACCTCAAATTTGTCTGGATTAAACTCCATCTGCCATTTCTGTGCTCAAGTTGCCAATCCATCTACATGTTGTATCCTCTCACGATCATCGGCACTATCAGCAACTCCACCAATCTTCGTGTCATCTGCAAACTTACTAATCAGATCACCCATATTTTCCTCCAGATCATTTATATACACTACAAACAACAGAGGACCTAAGACTAATCCGTGTGGAATGCCACTAGTTACCGGTCTCCATTCTGAAAAGCATCCTTCCACCGCTACCCTCTGTCTTCTATGACCAATTCAGTTTTGTATCCATCTAGCCAGCCCACCCTCGAATCCCATGTGATTTTAGTTTTTGTACAAATCTGCCATGTAGGACTTTATCAAATGCCTTACTAAAGTCTATATAAACTATAACCACAGCCCCTCCCTCATCATTATCTTTGTCACCTCATCAAAAATTCAATCAGGTTGGTGAGACTTGACCTTCCTCGTACAAAAGCATGCTGCTTGTCACTAACTAGTCCAGTTTCTTCCAAATATACATCTATCTTGCCCCTCAATAACGTCTCAAAGAGCTTCCTAATTTCTTTATACTCCTCAAGGGCTTTGTCAGTTTGTAGCTGCCTAGACCTATCGTATGCTTCCTTTTCCCTTTTGACTAAGCTTACAATTTCCCTTGTCATCCATGGTTCTTGAATCCTGCCATTCCTATCCTTCAGTTTTGCAGGAACATGCATGTCCTGCACTTTAATCAACTGGTCTTTAAAAGCCTCCCACAAGCCAGACATAGATATGCCTTCAAATAAGGACGATTATTCTGTTTTGAAAATTAGGCTGTAGCTTTGAAGACATACTTCTGCAAGTGAAAATACAAGTCCCCCTTCATTGCAAGAGTATTTTAATAAATATAGAGAATTCAACAAATTCAAACTTCCCTCATTGTTCACTGGAACAAAATATGTGCAGACTTCCTTTTTTGTCCAGCAATAACTCATCCCTCAACTAGTTATGTAACAGCCTATTCTAGAAAATACTTCCAGTATATAACTGTGGCTTTTACGACAGTAACATCTGGAATAAATGTAAATACTTTATTGCGTAAAAATTATTTTATTGCACCAAATAGGAAAAAACAAACAAACTCACTGAGTCCTTTCAGGAGCTGTCCATTTTAATGAATTCCAGTAAAATGACATTATAAAGCCCATAGAATGATGTGGTGCTAAGCAAGTGGGCTCCTTGGAAATATTTTACAGCAAGAATTTACATTCATATAGATCCTTAAATGTCAGAAAATATCCCAAGACATATCACCAGATCAGAATTAATCAAAAACGAACATCAAGTTAAAGGAGAGAATTGAACAGGTGACTGAAACTTTATCAAAGTGCTAAGTTTTAAGGACGGTATTAGAGGTGGAAGAGAGTTGGAATGACAAACAGGTTTTATTTAATTAATTAGAATCTAAGCGGCTGAAAGTAAATCTTTTATCGTTGGCACCACCTCTTCTAGAAACTCACCCTTGACCATTGTATCTTGCAAAATCACTGCCCCATTTTCCTTTTGAAAGTTCTTGAATGCATTGTCATTTTCCAAATCTGTACCCATAGGATAACACCATAATCCCTTTGAGCAGAAGGGAGTTCTCATGAACAAAGTATACTCAGAGAGTTCCTGAGGGGAGATAGGACAGAAACTGGAGAAAGTTTAAGCTAGAGCAGTGCTGGTCCTTTGTTTGGTCAACTTGAGGAAGAGAAGGATGGAGTAGAGTCGTTAAATGTTCTCAATCTTAGTGACAAATAATTTGTTGAGTTCCTTGCAAATGTTGTCGGACATTAGTGGGGAAAAGACTGGGGACCATAACGCCATAACAAACAGGAGCAAATGAAGCCTATTTGGTCTATCAAGCCTGCTTCACCAGACATTGAGCTCATGGTTGAGTTGACTATCATCAACCCCACTTTCCTGCCTTTACCACATAACCCTTGATTGCCTTACTGATTTAAAATTTGTCCACCTCAGTCTTGGATATACTTAATGACCCGACCTCTACAGCCCCCTGTGATGAAAAATTCCACAAATTCACTACCCTCTGAGAGAAGAAATTCCTCCTCATCTCTGAGAAGTGTTTAAAGATACAATTAGCTGTTGGGGAGAAAAAGAATGGGATTTATCTTTCCATTTTAGCATGATTCTTGAGTAGGGGGATGATTTGGGCACTGGGAAGTAGGCCTGATACTACAGGATGCATCCATCCAGCTCCGACAATGAATGACTAAGCTGGCTGGGCATCTTATACGTTCCAGTCTGTTTCTACTGTATCTTGATGTAGCAAGGATAAAGGCATTAATGGAGGATACAATCAGAGTTATATAGAGTCAAGCTTTTATTTGGGACAAGGAAATCAAAATTAAGGGCAAGTGTGCGTTATTGAGAAATTAAATAGTTTCGGAAGTATGTTGTGACTGGGGTGGCAAACTGTATGTTTAAAAGTGTTATTGTAAGAGACTTGGAGAGCAGTTTTTATTCCCGGGGCTGGGACAGCAGAAAATAAGGTTTGATGGGAGAATGTAACCGGTGAGAAATAAAGGAGAAAATCAGATGTGGTCTTGGCATAGATTGAAATGATGAGAATAGGGAGACCATGCGAAATGATAATGTTGAGGGGGTGGCTCAAAATGCAGATTGGAGAGGTCATATGGGGAGGGGAGATAAATGGAGGATTGGATTGTTAATGTAGGTTAACTTGACATGAAGTTTGAAGACATCAATGGGTACTCCAGGTAGAGTACTTTGTGAAAACTTTGTCATGGAGCTTTGTTTCTGACTAACTTTAGGTACAACAGTCTCAATATCAGGCCATTTTTCTCTTATTTCCATTATAATGCGGCATCTTGGATTGTGTTGCATTAACTTGACAAGAAGTTATCTGAGGAAAAGCAGAGATACATGATAGCATTAGGAATGCATTCATTCTCCATCAATGGTAGCTGGAGGATAATTGATATTGAATTTTCTTCTTGTTAAGATGTTGCATTCACATAGGCACTTACAAAACCCAATTGGGTGATGTCATGATGACATAATGCAATAGAATACAAATTAATTCATTCTTTTTTAACTTTATATTTATTTTTATCTTGATCCAGTCGAGGACCACTTGGGACAAAAAGTTGGGGGAATGATTTTTGGCATTTGAAGAAATCTTACACCATGGTACCATTAAACCTTGCCCTTGGGAGCTGAACTACAGAAAAATGAATTTTACCCTATATTTTACAGATGGGATTTCAAGCCATCTGGGTCTGAGGTTAGCCAACTGGCTTGGCAATTGCTTCATTATAATTTTGAAACTGTTCACACTTTATATTAAGTACTGGTGCAAAGTAGGATCCTCTTTGCACTAAAAGGTAGCCACCAGAATTTCATTGGCATTCCCTAGATGGGCTGCCATAATGTGAGAAGTCCATGACAAGTTCTGGAGTAGACATCCTTTGTTTGAACAATTGCGCCACTTTTTTTGAAAGTTTAACTGGAGAATCCCTGTGAGAGCTCCTGGTGGATGAGTGAATTTACCTTGAGCAACTTCCAGCTTACTACCCCTGTCACAGCCTGGATCTCTTCATTGTATCAAGTGCCTTAAAATCTGTCCATTTCCACATGACACAAACAAATTTTTTTTCATGTGTTGCTCAATTACAACCACAATTTCTCAGTAATGTGCAAATACATATTTTCCAATACCATAAAACAGGCCTGCTTTCTGAATAATCTATTTGTAGATAATAATTTGATGTCACTTATTGCTTGACATCAACGATTATGTTTTTATCTTAAGGTCCAGAAGGCAATGGAATGTATGAAATCAAACAGGGAATTCTCAAAGCATTCGAAAACATCAATCATATTTAGACCCTTGATAAATAAGTTTTGTGTTTTGTTCACTTCTAGTTACAGGCTAAAATGGGAAACAGGCCTATTTAGGGTGAAGGTGAGGAAAAATCTATTTAGTTAAAGGGTAGTGACCCTATGGAATGTTGTACCACATATATAGTGGTGGAGGCCAAATCATTGAATATATCTTGGAAATAAGTAGGTAATTTCTGAGAATAAAGGTGTCAAGGGAATAGAAAGGGAGCAGAATTATGGCTTTGAGATGAAGGATCAGTCATGATTGGATTGAATGGTGAAGTAGGATTGATAGACTGAAAGGCCCACTCTTGCTTCCATTTTCTAT